CGGAGCCCCTGGCTCCCTCCTGGGTGGACCCACCCCCTTGTCACCATCTTCCCAGCTCTGAGACAGATGCGCCCAAGTCCAGAAACTAAATCCTAGCATGGTCTGGCCCCTGTCCAGACCCCCTGTCTTAGGCCACATCAGCTTATCTTCTCTCTGCCTCGGCTTTCCGTCTCCAGGCTTTCTAAAAGAACCATAAACATGCACAGATGTCACTCACGAAGCCCTCCTCTTGGCCAGCACTTCACAGGCAGGCAGCCGCTGCTAGGAATGAGCAGCCCCAGGTCAGATACCCTGGCGGGCTGGCAGGCTCTGGAGTCAGCCCTCCCCGCTACAGCTCAGCCCCTCCAGGGCCAGTTCTCCTGCCTGTCCAACAGCCAGCCAGGTCCCTGGGCACCTGCTCTGCCCATTTCCAGCCCCGCTCCAGCATGCCACCTCCGTACCCATGCCACTTGTGTGGTGGGGCCCCAGTTCTTGGTGACAACAGGCCCTCGCTGCCTGGACACAGGTTCTCAGGCTGACACACAGCTCCAGCTCAACTGCCCATTGGCCCTACTCCAGGAACTGACCCAGGAGGTAGTAGAGGGCCCCCGCAGTCTGGTCCCTGCCTGCTTTTCCCTGCTTCCGGGCTGCAGGCTCTGCCGAACCTCTTCCCTCACGCATGTGTTTTATCCCTCTTCTTCCCTTTCAGTGTGGAGATGCAGGGGTGGAGGGTGGGGAACGGCCATGCACTGGGTTGCAGATGCTGGGGATCCCAAACATCAGCGCCACTGGGATCTTGCACTTGGCTGGCGGGGCGGCACTGCTGGGAATTGAACTAGTGGCTCCCACACGTCCTCCCTGAGCCACACACAGCCTGGAGCCCTACCTGGGGCGCGGTGCTGCGGAAACAAACATCCTATCTGTGCCGGCCTCTCCTGTTTTCCTTGTCGGCTGCCAGCAACGTGACATTTTCAGCTGTTCACCGGGAAAGGATTCTGCTTATTTTACAGTTATCTGCTCAGCACTTTATGCTTTGGGGGCAGTGGGGATTCAAGAGATAAATGAAAAGTGGTGGGTGTTATGAGGATCCCTAAGAATTCCGAGGGGAAGGAGAGAGACAGGCAGCTGCGGGAACGGAGAGCCCCCTCGGCGCCAGACACGGCAGGGGACGGCCGACCTGTGTGTGCGGGACTTTGCTCCTGGCAGCTAAAACATCAACACCAAACCCACTCAATCCAGGCTTTTAATTTGCACTCCCCTTCCGTGGGGGTGGGGTAAACACACTCTTTTCCCCCACTGATAGATGGGAACTGGAGGAGGGAGCTCAGAGCCAGAACTGAAATCAAGGTCACAGTCAGAAGGGGCAGGGAGCCCGTGCACCCGGGATATTGAGCCCCGCACCCCACCTGCAGGCCTGAGAAGAATGCCAGTCTGTCTCACCTGCACTAACGTGGCTGCAGGCATGGTGGCCTTGGAGAGCTGGCCGCCCAGCCCGGGCCTGTCCCACAGCTGCCTGGGACAAAGGACACACAGGTACACATCATCACGGCCTGAGCAAAACGCTGCGGTCTGAGTTTTCCAAGTCCATGTTTTATTTATGGGGAGCAGTGCACATCGAGCCCGGAGAATGGTTTGTAATCCAACGCGTACAGCCTCGTGGGCTGGTGAGCTGTCCCAACAGCAGGTGGCAGTAGGTGTGGTGGCCGTTGATTAGGGAGTACGCCGAGGTCACAAGGGCCGCCAGTTCCAGCCGGTGGGGTGGAGCTCAGACCAGAGCCCCACGCACACTGAGCTACAGTTCCAGCCTCCCAGCGGGTCATTTCCCCCGTCAGCCCCCAAGTCCACACACACCTGTATGCACAGGTTTGTTTGGGTTGTGCTTCTGTGCTTTTAGCCTGAGTGCGTCCAGCCCCCTGCTCCTTGCGGCAACAAGACCAGACCAGCCCCTGCCTCAGCTCCCTTTCTGCACCACCCATCCCTGCCTTTCTTGCCAGTCTCACCGAGTGCCCTTGGGATGCTTTGGGCTCAGAACAGGTCAGGGCAGCTGATCCCATACTGGGGTGGAGTGGCAACTGGTGCAAGTGTCTCAGCACTTCACTTTACATCCCAATTCATTCATGGGGGGGGGGGGGGAACGGGACACACTCTGCAGTGCCAGGGATTACACCTGGGACTCCTGCTTGCAAAGTATGTGCTCAGTATCAAAGTATCTGATCACGCTCAGCGTTTTGCTCAGTATCAAAGTATCTGATCATGCTCTCTAGCTGCCCCCCGACCCCCAATTTAATAAAAATGCCGTGTGTTCCCATTCCATGGGTGGCCAGCAGTTTCCGCCATCACTCAGCCCATCCACACAGCTCAGGCACACACGTGTCTTAAAGGCACAGCCCTCCCATATCAACACTGGCTGAGAAACTCCAAGGGCCCCCTCTCATCTCTCAGTCCTGGGAGTGTCCCTGATCTGAACCCTGGGGCAGGCCCCGGGGGACGCCCAGCCCCTTTGATCAGGCCCATCTCAAGCCTCAGCCCCTGCTGTGAACTCTTCCTTGGGGATGAAGCTAATTGTTTCTGGGGTCCGTGAGGAAAGAGCTGTTTCCTTAGCACTCCTGAGTGGCAGGGTTGAACGGCTCTGGGGACGGAAGAGACAGCTGGGTAGAACGTCTCCACCTCCTTAGCGGCACTCAGTCTCCTGGGGACTAGGGTCTCCTGGGGACATACTGGTCCAAGGGTGCCCCATCATGCCGACAGGCTGAGATGGACAAGGAATCTGCCTGACCAGCTGCACTATGAGCTCTGGACAGAAGACTGAGGGTTCCGGTGAACAAGACCCGGGATCCAAGTCATGCTCACGGCAACGGGGCTGTGAACCCAGCTGCCCCAGGAGAGCCAGCATCGTGCACCAGGAAGAGGACGGCCAGGACAGTGCCCCTGCGGCAGAAGTGGGGGCAAAGGCAAAGTGGCCAGGCAGAGCTAGTAAAGGTCCCCCCGCAACAGACCCACACTGGGGTGGGAGCAGCCAAGGGAGTTGCTGTCGGTGCAGCAGTCGTCACCGGGGTAGCCACCTCCACCTGCTATGAAAGCCCCAAGGGTAGGGGCACAGCTATGGGGCAGCTTCTCTGCATGGTGGTCACTGTGAGCACCGTGGGCCAGGGTCCATCAGAAGCCTGAGGAAAGCTTCTGTGGCTCGTGAGGAAGCTGAACTTGGGGCTGAGAACTTAAGAGCTGTTCTTTAGTCAGATTTTTGTTTTTCGGTTTGGTGTTGTGGGGGGTGGGGAGGTTTGTGTGTCACACCTGGCAGTGCTCAGGGAACCATGTGGTGCTGGGGTTAGAGCCCAGGCCTGCAGCAGGCACGCATGCAGCCCTCCGCCCTAGTCAGGAGGCTTTGCAAGGAGAGATCCCCTTCCTCCAGGCCCTTTGCAATTCATGCCTTTTAGTCTGCTTTGGGGCTGGAGTTCCAGCTGTGGCCGTGGCCACTGCGAGAGCACAGGCCACTCCACTCTCTGCCTGCGCTCTGTCTGGCGCCATGGGGACAGCCAAGAGCTGTCAGTCACTTGCAGATCCAGGATTCTCCTGGCCTGATAGCTCCCGGGACAGGACACACCGTGAGAGGACAAGAGCGGCCCAGACCAGAGGAGTGAGGGCTGTCCACGGAGACGGAGTCTTCAAGGCTTGAGCACCATCTTCTGGCCAGTCCTTGGCTTCTGAGACCAACATTCCTTTGAAGATCTCTCTGGCGGTCAGGCCCAGATGGGGTCAGCTTGAGTAGTCGCCAACCAAAACAAGGGCACAACTGGCAGAGGAGGAACTAGGGGGCTGGAGATGGGGGCTGGCTGGTGGGAGGAAGCTGCCCGAGGCCTGGCCAGAAGACGCACTGGGCACTGTTAAGGCTCCACATGCTGCCCTTCCAGCACTGTGCAGTGACTCCACCGCCCTGTACCTGATGATGTGAAGTGCACTCAGAGAGAAAGGAAGGGCCATCTTCTGCAAACCGGCCTCAGGGGGCCGAGACTCAGGTGGGGACCCCTCCCCATGCAGCAGGGGTTACATGGCGGGATCTTACATGGGGAGCAAACACTGTACAAGCCACACTGACCTCGGGGCATCAAGGAATCAAAAATGCCTGTCAGTCCCTCCCAGTGGCTGGTACTGAATCCATCTCATTGCACTTCATAATGGATCTCACAAACCATTAATTACGAGATGGTATTTTGGGAGCTGAACATAAAAACCTTGTGAAATCCAGACTCCAAAGGGCCACTGACCTGTAGGGCCCCAGCAGGCTGCTCAGGCAGGCAGGGATGTCGGCTATCTGCCCATCTAGTACAGCTCCCTGGCCCTGCCATCCCCTGGATGGGGGACGGTGGCAGAGAGTGCCCCGAGGGGCAGAGCCCTGGGGAGAATGCCCCAGGGCAGCGCCTGTCCACGGTGGAGTGACTTACATCAGCTGTCCCCACACACACACACACACAAAATAAAACCCTAAAAGTTGTGTCTTTAGGGGAAGGACCAAACCTCCTGACAAGGTGGGGGTGCAGCAAGAACTCGGGGCTGTCCTGGGTGGATGTGGGGGACCCCAGGCAGATGGGAGAGTGAGGGCAGTGAGGAAAGGGCCACAGGCTGAAGGTCGGGGTCCCTGGATGGTCTGAGGCTGCTTTTCTCATTTCTCTTATTTTCTTTAAATAGCCAAAAGGCACTGGCAGCTTTCAGCCGTGTGTGTGTGTGTGTGTGTGTGTGTGTGTGTGTGTGTGTGTGTGTGTTGGGGGGGGGAGGGTGGCTCACCATCCCCTTGTGCCCCCGTTCCTCCACCCGCTCATTGGGCTGCTCCCGGGGGTGGTCAGTGTTGTTGAGGCCACGGCAGCCAGGCAGAGGGAGACAAGGCGACAGTGCCAAGAACTCAGAGGAAAACGACACTTTGTGAGTTTCCTGGGTGAGGCCATCTCAGTTGTCACTGGGCTAAGAGGCAGCTGGGCCGGGGGTGCCGAGGGCAGGCAGAGGCACTTTTCTCCTCACCGCACGGGCCGCTCACTTGGCCTCCCCACAGATCAGGGTCACCGTGCCGTCCAGCAGCTCCTCCACGGTCACGGCCACCAGCTCGGAGCTGCTCTGAGGCGCCTGCGAGTCTGGCAAGGTGACAAACACCTGCGAGCCGGCCAGCTGGGTCTCCTCCAGCGTGATCACCTGCTCCGCGGGGGCCCCCGGCTCCGCGCTCTGGATCACCTGAAAGGGAGAGTGGGTGAGGCTGCGGGGGCAGCTCTGCGGCGCCCGGCTCGGGCCGTAATGATGATCTTTATGTTTTCACCTGAGGAGAGCAATTACACGCGCCTAATGGGAAGAGGCGCGTCTCACGCGGCAGCGATGCAAAAGAGAAGGCAGGCGAACAATTTAAATAACTCTGGGCGCCAAATTGCTATCATCGAGCCCAGCGCGCTGGCCGGCTGGGGCGCCGGACTCTGTGATTACGCGCTGGAGAACGCTGGCTCCGTTCCTCACACGGGGTTTCCCTGTCGCTGAGATGACACTCTGGAGGCAAGTACCATGTGAAAGGAATGCTACTGAGGGTGGCGGGTCTCACGCTTGGCACAAGGACCAGTTACCGACAGCCTCCGCCTGACCAAGACAGCCCGTCAGGCCGAGTCCTCGGGCATCTACGGGAGCCCACGCGGCCATGGATGAAGGCTGGATTGGGGGGGTGGGGGGAACTGTGATTTCCGTTTGTTTTGGGTTCACACCTGGCAGTGCTCAGGAACTCCTTGACAGTGCTCAGGGGACCTTATGGGCCACGGGGATTGAACCCGGCTCTGCCGTGTGCTGTATACCCCCTGTACTATCCCTCCAGGCTATCCACAGACCTGGAAGGTGACTCGTGTCAGCGACCCTCTTTAGCCCGCCCGGCCAGCACCTGTTTCTGATCTTCACGGCCACACCCCCTTTCTATACCTGCCTCCAGGGTCCGAGACTGTCCACCCAGGTCCAGGACACTGGCCAGTGGCTCTCACCCAGGTCCTGCCTGAATCTGCGGAGAGCCAGCCGGACGGAGTGGGCGGAAGGGAGCGTGTTGCTGGGACAGAGGCCCATCGACGTCACTGACAGCAGCTCCCAAACCGTTTCTCTCCCCTTTCCTTTTGGCAATGGAGCCTGTTTATTGTTTCCCTCGAAGGCTGCATTCCCAAGAACTCTGACATAGAAAATAAGAGCAGGGCAGCTCTAGCTGGGGAGAATCGGGCTTCTCTTGACGGCTCTGTGGGGCTGGGCAGGGAGGCAAGTCCTTCCTCCTCGGCAGCTCCACCCCCGGCTGTGGCTGATTGAATGAACCGAGTTTCCCTTTGACCCTGCCCACCTGCCTAGAGATGGGGGCAGGAGCTGACAGTCTTGGCGCCTGGGAAGGTCACCCTTCTCCTTTCCCAGAGGCCTGCACATTCCTCAGTGCTGCCCAGAGCTGGAGCAAGCGTGCAAGATGGGAGGAGAGACCTAGGGAAGCCCCGGCTTCTCCTGGCTTGGTGCTGGGCCGTGAATCCTGGAGGTGCTCACGGGAGTCAGCCTGAGTAGGCCTCGGCCAGGAGTGTGCAAGTGGATGTGCTAAGCCATCTCCCCGGCCCACTTCTGGAACTCCTTCCTCCAGGCTCTCGCCCAGGTACCCGCACTTCCTATTATTGTGGGCAGCCCAAGCAAGAGGCCCTGGTTTGGATGGGACCAGTGAGCCCCCAGAGAGAAAGGCTGGCTGTGTGACAGCACCTCCCCAGTGGCCCTGGGTACCCTGGGCAGGCACCCACCCTCCTATCCACAGCCCCAGAGTCACCTGCACCATCTGGGGGGTGGTGGCCGGCGCCTCCGTGCCTGTGGCCCTGGGGTGCTCCGAGTCCAAGTGTGCGTGCAGCTGGGCCTGGGAGGTGAAGAGCTCCCCGCAGAGCTCGCAGGGGAAGGTGTTCTCCGACTGCTTGAAGTGCTCCGTGGTCACGTGGTGCTGCAGCGCCCCGGGGAAGCGGAAGGTGGCCCCGCAGTACAGGCAGCGGAAATGCTGGGAGCCTGCAGAGGGAACAGGGGAGGTGGGGTCAGAGGCGGTGGGCAGCGGGGCCAAGAGGAGGCCCCAGGAGCGCAGCGGAGCACAGAGGCAGATGGGTTTTGTGGCCCTTGAAGCTTTGACTTCAGTGCAGTTTGGAGGTCGTCTTTAGGGGAACCGCTCAGTTACCAAAAAAAAAAAAAAAAGATAAAGAAAAAGGATTGAGGATGGGGCTGGCTCAGTGGCAAGCACATGCTGTGTACCAGAAAAGGATAATGGGCATGGGCTGGAGTGATAGCACAGTGGGTAGGGTGTTTGCCTTGCACGCGGCCGACCCGGGTTTGATTCCCAGCATCCCATATGGTCCCCCGGGCATTGCCAGGAGTAATTCTGAGTGCATGAGCCAGGAGTAACTCCTGTGCATTGCCGGGTGTGACCCAAAAAGAAAAAAAAAAGGATAATAAGGGGCTGGAGCGATAGCACAGCGGTAGGGCGTTTGCCTTGCATGCAGCCAAAATGGCCGACCCGAGTTCGATTCCTCCGCCCCTCTCAGAGAGCCCGACAAGCTACCGAGAGTATCTCGCCCGCACGGCAGAGCCTGGCAAGCCACCCGTGATGTATTCGATATGCCAGACACAGTAACAACAAAGTCTCCAATGGAGACATTACCGCTTGAGCAAATAAGGATAATGGGCAGAATTCTGGAAGCACCTGGCAAATGAGGCCCTGAAGCCATGGCTCTCTTAGCATCCATGTCAGGCCAGTCTGTGTCACCAAGTCCACCCTCTGTCCCCCGCAGAAGGCGATGCTGGCGCTACTCAGCCCAGAGTCCATGCCTCAGAAGTTTGGGTCAGGATCTCTCTGACTGCCCGGGGCTGGGGGTAGTGGTGTGAGGTGTGAGGGGGAGGCCTAGGCAGATGGGAGTGGGCCCCTGCTGGGAGATAAGGTTCCAGATGCTGAGGACTGGATGGACAGCTAGACTCATTCCAGGAGTGGCCTGGCGTATCTAGGGCACGAGAGACCAGGCCGGGTTCTTCCTGCGTGGCTCCGGGTCCCCCAGCACTGGGGAGAGGAGGCACATGGACAGTCTGACCAAAGCGGAGAGGCTGGATCTCAACCTAATCCATTTATTTATGTTCTCCATTTATTTATGTTCTCCTTTTTATGTACGGACACAAGAGAGCATAAACATCTATGTCAAATTAAGACTAACGCCGCACTCAGTATAACCTATAAATTCTAAATGATAGGAAAGCATGGTTTAATTGCCAGTAGTTTTTCTTTTTTAATGGCTCATTAAAAACGCGCATCGGAGCTGGAGGCACTTTCAGCCTGATGCACTGCAGGCGCCACGGCGAAGGGGCGGCCCCGTGGCGCTCAGCCTCACGTTACCGGTTGTGTGCCAACAGACCTGGGTCTTGGCCGGCCTGTGAGGGTCTACCTGAACTGACCCTGTCTCCCAGGGGCCGTGGGTGGAGACGAACACTGACCTGAGTGCTGGCACTTGATATGGACCTGCAGCAGCGCGGGTGTGGGGAAGAGCTCCTTGCACTGGTCACACTCGTGGAACTTCACATCTGCACAGCATCCGGGGAGGCAGGGTGAGGGGGTGGGGGTGGGGGGGAAGGGCGGCACAGCGGTGGTTAACACTCGATTGGCATCTACCCAGGGCCTGGGACTTCCCACACTGTTGGTGAGGAGCCCCTGGCCTGGTCCCCGAGACCCGGACACATGCAGGGGTATTGTGAGGATGCAGTGAGGAAACCCCACAGCCTGGAAGAGAGCCTGCACTCCGGGGACACTTGCTGGTTGCCCACTGACGGGCACTGCCTGCAGCGGGAGTGGACTGACTGCCAAGGTCACGAGGCTGTTAGTGCTGAGGCTATGTGCTCACCCTGGCCTAGGAGGAGGGGGCACTGTTCCACGTCTATGCTCGAGACCCTCAGCACCCCAGCCGTACTGGAGAGGAGCCGAGTGGCATCCTTAGGGCTCCCCCAGCCCCCGACTCAGGCAGGAAGTGGGCAAGAGGCATGGCTGCTACATCACCAAGCCTCTTGTCAGCGCCCCTGGGCGGCACCCCGGTGTTACCTGCGTGCTCTGTTTTAATGTGCCGCTTGTGTTCCATGGTGTTGGAGAACGTCTTGTCACAGGAGCTGCACTGCAGTGAGGAGAACCGGGAGGAGCGGTGGTTCTGAGCCGCAAATACGTCAGGGTGGTGCGTTCGATTGTGGTACCACAGGCCAGACAATTGCTGCAAGAGGCCAGGCAAGCGTTAGTCCCAGAATGTTCCTGCCAGCAACAGAGTGCTCAAGGCCCTCACGAGAGAGAGAGGAAACATTCTGGGGGAGGCTCGGAGGCCTGGATTCCCTCCCCAGCCCCCATTGCTAATGGGGAGGGGGGCTGCTCAGGGAAGCAGGCTCCCGTGGCTGCGGATGATCCCCCAGGCAGGGGCCTCTTGGTCCTCACAGTGAGTATGTGGGGACGCAGACAACACAGACGGACTCGTGTCTGGTCTTCGTAAGAGGTGTCACACTGACCTGCGCAGAGCCACAGGACTGTCAACAGCAGGACCAGGAGGCACATCACGGCCCTCCGTCTGTCTCTCTCCCCGGAGGCCCACGCACCACAGAGAGGCTGGCACGTGCTGCTCTGGGGCCAAACGTCCCTCCTTCCTGGGTTCCAGAGCAGGGCAGGGACACCCTTGACTGTCCCGTGAGTTCCCCGAGCCTGAGATGCAGCTCTGCGATACCCAGTCACCATGCTGGGCTTGGCCGTATGCTGGGTGATGCTGGAGGTAGTGCTTCTCGCCGTGGGGCCGCGTCTACAGCAGCCGGCAGGGCGCGGGTCCTTTTGATGGCTTTCGAGTTTCTCATGTGGCAGCGGCTGCCTATTCCTTTTACCTGGGGCTTTACTCTGAGCACATACTGAATTCTCAGATGGAACGATAGAGTCCTGCCTTAGCATTTAAGAAGCAACGACCCACACAAGGCAAATCCAGCAGTGTGGCCAAGCCTTGGGTCCCCAGATGCACAGGGCAGTGGGTCCTCTGGACTCTGAGCACTGCATGTGGCTGGTGACAGGGATACCCACAGACTCTCCGTGCCTGCAGAAGCCCTCCTGTGTTCCCAAACCCACCGGGCCCTCCTGGAAATCTACCTTTAAGTGAACACTAATAGTGAACCTCCCCTCATTGCACCTGAGGCTACCTCTGACACGCAGACCATTCCAGTGTCCCCCCCAGATGCTGTTCCAGACACATCACGAGTCATCATGAGTCAGTGCCCTTTGAGAGAATCACACTGTCACATCCAGGAGAGAAGAGGTGCTCCTTGAGCCACCCGGTGCATCAGGGGTGGGGCGGGCGGCGGCTCACCTGGTAGGCCTTGTTACAGATCCCACAGCTGAAGGGCTTCCCCCCGACGTGGGTGACCATGTGCCGCTCCAGCATGGAGGGGGCGCTGAAGATCTTCCCGCACGTCAGGCAGGGGTGGTACTCCTTGGAGTGCACCTCGTGGATGTGCTTGCGGTGGTCCTGCAGCGTGGGGAAGCTCATCCTGCACTTCTTACAGTCATAGGGGTCTTCTATGTCTGTGCCGCGAGAGGAAGGGGCAGAGGGAAGAGGTGCCAGGGGTGAGATGGAAGACCGGGCCAATGGGGTCTCAGATATCCAGGCAGGAAGCCCGCTCCTCGGGCTGCAGGACCAGCCACCTCTGCAGCACTGAGGGGAGGGTTGCAATACCTCCCTGCACAGCCCCCGAGTCCAGTCCCACCCCGGCTTCCCAGGGAATACAGCCACTGCCCTTCCCTTCTGCGTGGTGGGGGCTCCTGAGAGCTGATTCTCTGTGAAGATCTCCAGCACCTTCCCGGATCATTTCCACTCCCCCTGCTCTCAGCAGAATGATGGCACCCCAGGCGGGACTCCACAGTGAGAACATTTCAATAAAAACATCGGTGGTATTTGGCAAGTACCACGTGGCCAGCACACTCTAACTGCCTTGCAAATATTAGCTCACGAATCCTTCCAGGATCCCTGTGACTAGCTCCCATCCTCAGTCCTATCTTTACGGGTCAGGGAAATCAAGATTTCGGGTGTCCGGTGGCATAGGTGGGAAATGAGAGACCGAGGGTCGCCAATCCCAGCTTGAATCCTAAGGCCGAGCTCTGAGCGACATCCTTAATTGGACACGCCAACTCTTTAGTGAGGCCTCAAAAAATAAGAACAAACACGGATCATGAATACATTTGCCATCCCCGTGGCAGGAAGCATCAGTCTTTCTCTGAAAGCAAAATATTTTAATAATAAAAATCCTTTGCTCATAAGAAAGGGCCAGCTCGCAAGCCAGTCTTACGTGTGCAGTGATTCCGATTAATTCCAGAATTCTGACATGAAGCAGCACTTGGTATCATTAACTGGTTTCCCTGTGGACATGAGCTCCTGCAATCTCAGTTTTACGCTGTCATTTAAGACACTTTGAAGCTGCTCTCTCTGAGCAATGATGTGGCTGCATGAAACCGGCAAGGAACAGGCAATTCAAGTGGGGCCTGCTGCCGAAGACATCGCCGAGACACGCAAAGCATTCTGGGTTCTCTCCATCCTGAGCACTGCATCTCCTCCAGTTCCTGACTACCATGCACTGTCACCAGGAAGGGAGACGACACGCAGAAGGCCGCTTAAAAAAGACGGAGAGGCCATCATACTGTGGCTCTGGGGCTGGGTGGCAGCCTGCGGCAGTCTGGACAGTCGTGTGAATTCCTCGGGAGAGAGGGGTGGGTGGCCTTTTAATTCTCCCCCAGGACTGCCCTGTGTCCAGCTACAAACACGGCACAGAGGGGCTGTGGCAAAGTCTCTGGATAGGCTCGACTCTCTGGACATGGAGACCGTGGTTGTGAGGCAATAGCATGAATCCTGCACATAAGAACAGGGGTGGGGCGGGGAGAGGCGGAGGTGCAGGCTTTGATGGGACAATGGCCATGCTGCCCTTGCCACCAGAGTATCTGGCCTGACGTGGGCCCTTTCTATAGGTTGGGTGGGAGCGTCGTGCTGGTAAGTGCTGTCTCTCTCCTCTCCCAGCAGCCCAGCGGGGAGCACTCTTTTCCCTGGCTTACAGAAGGGATGTGAGAGATGTAGGAAGCTAATGCGCTCTCTTCAGAGTCAGCACAGGGTAGGGCCCAGTCCCGGGGTGCTGAGCACGGTCCTGCTGCAGCTAGAGCGGTCAGAGGCAGGCGCCTCCCCGGCACCTCTAGAGGATGCAATGGGGATGGGAGCGCAGGGCTGTCACCTGCCTGTGCCCGCACCATCTGTGTCGGCATTCCCTCTGGGAGAGGAGGAAGGAGAGGGCAGTCCCGGCATTTGCAAGGGGATAGGGGGGCGGAAGGTTGTGAGGGGAGTGTGGCGGGCACAACTGAGGCTGGGGTACGGAAACTCTGAAAGCGTTGGGCTGCTCTGAAGGGGGCAGGTGGGTGTGACTATACGGTGGGAGAGGCAGGAGGGGGTGGGGAGGGAGAGGTGCTCAATGGACTGCACCCGTCTGCTACCGAAGTTCTCCCTTGTCACCATAATTTGTCTCTACAGGCCAAACTGAACCAAGCCGACTAAACCGGAAGACAAGGGAACAGCCTGAGCAGAGAAATGGGCATCTCACATTCGAGCGCCTGTTCATGTGGGGACTTTCTCCAAGGAACTCTGGGTGTTACGGGAAAGTGGGAGAGGGAAAGGGTTGGTCACAGCATAGTCCCGGCAGGTGACAGAGCCCGCGATGACTGTCACCAGCCCTCTCAGGGCCAGGCCTGGCACCCAGGACCCGACTTCCACAATCTCAGCACCTACTGTGAAAGGTGTGCAGGTGGATGGAGAGGCCGTTGGCCTGCCGGAAGCCCTTGCCGCAGTCCCTGCAGACGTAGGGCTTGTCTCCAGTGTGTGTCCTCACGTGGCGGGAGAGCTCGATGGACTGGGCAAACACAGCGTCGCAGTACTGGCACGCGTACATCTTCCCTGGAAACAGCCAAGAACAAAGTCGCACCCCAAGGCAGGCAGAGAGGAAACGCGACGGGAGAGAGAGAGGACATTCAATGACAGCTAGCGTGAAATACTGGGCGGGAGACGGGAGCCGTCCGCTCCGATGGCACCTCACAAACATGGCTGGTCACAGGCCAGGGGGTTCAGCATGTGCTCCTGCTCCCGGTCACCCGGGGCTACTCATCTGCTAGCCAGGTCACTGCAGGCACATAAGCACCAACATCACCCCCAGGAAGCAGGGATCTCCCAGGCCCAGAAACACAGTCCACACAGTGCAGAGTTGCAGCGGCAGGGGATGGGAGCCTCCTCCCAGCTCCTCCTCCTCACTAGGGCATGACCACCCATCGCCTGTCCCCTCTCCATTCTCATGCACATCATGAGGATCTAATGGCCAGACTGCACGGGCGGCCAGAAGGGCAGGGGAGAGATCAAGTCTAGATGCCTGGAGCCTGTGAGGACACACTCTGCGTCCCCCAGCTCCCGACAAGCAGCCCGGGGAGTTCAATGAAGTGTCCACAGAGAGACGTGGAGCCACGGCGGGGTTTCGGACATGGAGGGGCCCCCACGGCGCTGACTTGTAAATGGAGCAGCTGGGTCCCAGGGTTAAGAACGTGGAACGGGAAGGGAGGGGCCCAGAAAGGAGAATACCACAGCAAGCCAGGTAAAATGTGGGGTTGTCATTAAAGACTCCCCAAATTAGATGGAGAATCCTCCGAGCAGCCTTCCCTGATGCACACCCCCTCCCCTCCCACTGGGCTGATGCCCCATCCTATCCTGCAGGACATGGGGTCTGCCTTCATGTCCCTCCTCTGATCTAGACCAGCTACTCTGTGGGTAAAGCAAGTCTAGCGTGGTCACCCAGCACCCACCAAGCCCAGCAGGTTCTCTGCACAAGCTCTTCTAGTTCTTCTCTTTTTTTTGGGGGGGAGGGGGGGGTGCACACCTGGCAGTGCTCAGGGATTACTCCTGGCTGTGTTCAGGGATCATTCCTGGCGATACTCGAGGGGGGACTATATGGGGTGACAGGGATCAAATCTGGGAGAACAGCAAGTAAGGCAAGTGCTCTGCCTGCTGTATTATCTCTCCGGCCCCTCTTCTCATTCTTAAACCTGACAGCGCAGCCCAAGGAGTGCCTGGCTTTCCGCAACTTCTACAGAGAGGCAGTGGTCAGGCTGAGCCCTGGGCTCCCTTCAGAAACTTTCCCCCCATAATCTTGTGCTGTGCCTGTGTGGAGTCATCGGTGTGTCCGGGCGGTCTGGGCTTCGATTCCCTTTTGAGTCAGTGGTACCTCTCTCCACCTCAGATTTCTCTCTAGAGGTGTGCGGTGCAGGCAGCTGCATGGCGGGAGCATGCAGGGATGATGCCCTTGGCCCACCTTACCTTCCGAGTGCTTTTTCTTCGTGTGGTAGGCCAGAGCCGAGGCCTGGGTGAAGGTCATGAGGCAGTGCTTGCACATGAAGGGCCGGTCACCAGTGTGAAGGCGAAGGTGGTTCTTCAGGGTTGAGTTAGCTGCAAACTTGGCGCCACATTCTTCACAGGAGAAAGGCTTCTCGTCAAAGTGCTCTGTCAGTTTATGGTACTGCATGCCTAGGGAGGGGAGAGAGTATGAGAGGGTGTGTGTGGGAAGGGGTGGGAAAGAAGGCGGGGGGGAGAGAGAGAGAGAGAGAGAGAGAGAGAGGCACCAACTCAATCCAGGCCTCCACAGGAAGCACAGACTAAACCTCATGTTTAGGTCCTCTGAGAGCCGTGTTACTCATCAGCCTGCCACCCCTTGCTCCCACAGTCCTCTTGGCCCCACTTCTGGTTGAACCTGGCGTAAAGCATCCTGGGACTCCCTTTTCCAGCCCCCCCCTACCTCCCCGCACCGAAACCAGGTACTTCTCTCTTAACTAGAACCCAGTCGCCCAGAAAGAGCAAAAGACAATTCATTTTTATGTTCCCTCGGGCTTGGCTGACATTTGGGACAAGAGAAAACAATTCCGACTGTACACCTCCTGGTGTTCCGGGCTCCTGTTTATAATCAAGGAACAAGTGATACGTGGCAACCCAGCCTCAGGAGCTCAGCAGCTGGCTCTGACTGCGAGTAACCACCACAGTCCACTGAGCAGGGGAGGTACCGTGCGAGGGGTTCGCGCAGTCATCCTAAATCTTCATAACTAGCCAAAAAAGCACGAGGTCTCAGGGCACCCACTTAACGGCGGAGGAACTGAAAGCTCAGTGAGACACTTCTGAAGCTCATGCTCTTCTCCAAGCACAGCCCGCCTTGGCAGGAACCAGCCGCGTTCTCTAAGGTCACCCCCAGCATTCCTGCAAACCGTGGGGGTGAGGCCTGCTGGTGTCCAGCGCCCCCCCCTTTCCCGACTCCGGAGCCTTCCGGAACGCACCTGAGGCATGAGCAAACTCCCTGCCGCAGAGGTCACAGGTCACAGGGAGCCTCTTCTTTTTCTTCTTGGGCGCCTCTGGCTCGCCACCCGTACCGTGGGCCTCTAGCTGGTGCTTCTCCAGCTCCTTCTTGGACTCCTTGGTCTCGCTGCACTCCCCACACTGGACCTGCTTGCTCTTGGCCGCCCGGCAGCGCTTCATGTGCACCTTGAGGCGGCAGTAGAAGTGGAAGCTCTTGTCACAGGCCTTGCAGATGAAGCTCTTCTTGGCAGAGTCTGGGGAGGCAGACGTTTCCTTCTCCTGCTGGCCTGGTGAGGAAGCCGGCTCCGCTCGGTCATTCTGGCTTCCGGCCTGGCAGGCTGCGTCGGCAGCGGGCCCGGCAGCCTTTACGTCCGCTTTGTTGTTGGCTTCGGGGCGAAATCTAGTCCTGACCTTCCACCGCTCCTCCCCGTTCTCCAGAGTCAGGAAACCTGTGCGGGAGAGAAGCCGCAGGGCTCCACTTTACCTCCTGATGCTTCTTCTCAGCGAGACCGGGGGTTTCTGGGGACCCTTGTGAAACTCTGTGGTACTATCACCTGCCCTCTTCAGGGTTCTGAGACACAATTAGCAGCATTTTACCTGGATGTCTCTGACCTTCTGAGGCACTGGGAACAAGAAAAGTAAAGCCGGGGCCCCCTGCCCACCACCCCCTTCTTACCAGCGGATGTCAACTCCTGCAGGACAGGCTGCAGGCCCGGGACAGACGGGTGGGTGATGCACAGGAGGTGACACATCTCAATGGCGGAGATGGATTTCTCGGCGGCTCTGCTCAGCACTGCTCTCAGGGAAGCATCAGGGCTGGCTGTCTCCGAGGAACTGCTCAGGATCTAAACGAACACCAGGAGACAAAGGTTTGCAGTTCCTGTCAGCGGATTTTTCCTCCACCGTTTTCTACTTAAAAGAGGAAAACCGCTAATTTCAAGAAGGCACTGCAACCTCTAGCACTACGTCTCTCGTGGAAATTAGTACAGGGACCCATGTCCCCAAAACAGGAAAATGAACAGAACTAACTACAGGGGACCGTGTAAAGACAAATGGGCAAAAGCAAAGAAGCAAGGGATGAGAATGCAAATACACACAAAGACACATTAAATATTTTCCCGAAGAAGTATCTTCTCAGACACAAGGAGCCTCTCAAAGAACTTTGCTAGATCTCAGTATTCAAAGCTCAGAAAGCGACGGGACTCAGCTGTTGGTGCATCCGTCTGGAAGATCAAGATAACTCTTTATAATATATAATTGTCTCCATGTCTGGAAGTAATTCCCCACGATCAGTGACTTCACATTTTTAGATACTTAGATGTGTCCTTTTAAACATTTTCTTTTATAAAGAAAGGCAGCTTTTTTAAATTAGGTTCAAATAGGGGCTTGAAAGAGGCCACGAGTTTTATTTCAAAGCTGTCCTCTTTCAGAATGTCCGAGTCACCGGCAGAGAGTCAGTACACTGAGAAAATAAAGCCCAACCAGCCACAGATGGCCGAGTGGAATCCTAGGTTTGGAAGACATTTTATATTTCTGCTCTTTTCAAGTCTAGCTAAATAAACCTGATGTTCCTGGAAGCAGGCAGGAGACTAATTAGTGAGGCTAAACCTGAGGAACTGCCGAAGCTCCGTCTCTGAAGTACCTGGTGCAGGGGCGAGGCTACCCCTTGGAAGACCCCGGAAATGGGTTTTGTGTCCCCTGCCCCCAAGAGTCCCCTGGGTTTGGTGGGGGTGGGTGGGGGGTGGCCTGTTGGCCCATGAGAAGCCAGCCCTCCTGCACACCTCCCAAACTCCCTGCACCAAAAGCGCTCCAGGAGAACGTGCGGATATGTGATCAGATGCCCCATTCCTCCACGCTACCCCTGCCCTCCCCGAGACACATGGCACCCTGAGCTGGACGCCTGGTGGCTCGCCTCCCAGTCCCCACCTGCCTTTTCTGGGACACCGGCCACACAGCGAGAAGCCTCCCAGTAAATGAGTTGGCAGTGTTTGCCACCCCATATGGGCAAAAGCTTTGTTCTAGCTATGTTTATCTTGGCCATTCCTAGAAACCAGAATAGCGTATGCAAGAAGGCCGAGTTTGCTCTTCTCCCTCTGAAAGAACTTTCTCCTTAGAACACATTGTGGGGACTACAGCCCTTTAGAACATATTGGGGGGACCCGTATCACCGCGGCCCCTCTGAGAACTATCTGCCTAGGTCTGGATAGATGGGATCACTCTAAATCAATCAGAATCTGCCTAGAAATCCCAGCCTCCTCTCTCATCCAGGTGGAGCATCCCACACACAGGACCCCTCTCCCCAGGAGCCCGAGTTCCCTTAACATCCCACACGGAGCTATCCCTCTCCCGGGGAGGGAGCCGCTTCCCTTATCTGCAAAACCCTCCACACTCCGCTCTGCTCTGCTCTCACCTGCCACACACACACAGAGGTGGGGCGATTAAAAAGAACAAACTGGTTACAATGTGTTGGCTCAGCGGGGAGCTCAGCTCTGCACGAATCCGCAGGGCTGATTCTTCCCTTTGGAGTCTGCCCGGAACCGCTGGGTGAAACCCTCCCCACAAAGCTCCCCCCCCACCCCCCAACACACACACACACCTCAGTCACTGCCTCCGCCAGCCGCTCCTCCTCGGGGGTGCCCGGCTTCAGCTCAGCCCTTTCCCGGAGAGCCGCCAGGATCAGCGTGCGGTGCCTCAGGATGATTTCTAAGGCAGCGCTTTCGGGGGCCATCACTGAAAGAAAGTGGGGGGGGGGGGGGAAGGATTGTGCTGGAAAGATCTTTAGTGAAACTAAGCACCACACCGGTACCTTCACAATCAGGATACACTTTGCTCTATCTCCCACGTGGAGTTGGGAGCGAGGAAGGTGGCAGGTGACAGGGATCAGAGCAGAATGACTGCCCCCCCATCCCCCCCAGGCAATCATTTAGAACCAGGAATACAAACTCCTGTGTCCCGGGCTGAGTGGCTGAAACCACCGGGACAGGGATGACTCCCATTGCGGAGCTCCGGCAAGGCTGGCAAAAGTGTCTGGCGCACGCTGAGCAGAGCCACGATGGAGGCCGGGTCTCCTACCTGCCCGGAAGAAAGCCTTGGCACCAGGCTCCCTCTGGATTTCCTCCAGGAGCAGGTCCCACGGGCAGGGCGTCGGCTCCTGGGTGGCCAGCAGCAGCTGCCACACGGCGGTCGCAGGGAGGGTCTGTTTGTCCACAGCTGCGGACACCAGAGCGCTGAAGGCCCCTGCGCCGGGGTCACGGCTCACCAGCGTCTCCAAGACCTGCGAGGGCGCCCAGCACACCGTCAGGGGGCTGCAGCCCGGGCGCCCTAAATATCTTGCACCGATGCTACTCTGCCGTCTTCCTTTGGCACGGTCCCCCCGCCAACCCCCTCACTATGGCGGGAAGCACAACTACCCTCCACCTCACTGTCCCCTGGAGAACCGACCCCCTCGACTGGCCCCATAGTATTTTTCAAAGTGGCCCCATGTGTCTGTTGAGAGGAAATGTAGATGACAGGCTTAACCCCACAGGGGTTCCCCTTCCTTCCTTCTCCCTCCTCCTACCCGCCCTCCTCCCCTCTCTTTCCCTTTTGGCCTCTGACCTCTTTCTCCCCAGGGGTTAAATTCTTCACATGTGAGATCCTTTTGAGTAACATCTGGCTGTCTGTGAAAATCTCAGAGAGGTTTTCCTGGTACCGTCTCAGGAGCTCGGTCCCATAATCCTCGGGGCTTGTGTGCGCTGTAAGGAGAGTGACAGAACAGAACCGTTGAAACAGCAAAACCTATCGCGGTCCCATCCCAGAGTCTCTGCTGCCGCTGAGAGTGAAAACGGCTCATTCTGTGGTCTCCTACACACATGTTCACAACTCCTTTTGTCTACACTTCCTCACTCGGCGTGTTGGGGTCACAAGACCACTAGCGCCATGAAAGTTAGCACCTGGCGGAGGAAGCCAGTAACTGCCTGACAGGGGAGTGGGTAATCAGAAGGTTGCCCTGTGAGAGATTCAGATGGACAGATTCGAGGGGTACTGTCAACCCTGAGGTGCAGGCTGCTGGGGATGACCCAAAATGCAAGCATGCATCCAGACTGTGGGGGTGACGGGCCCACCCTTCTGTTTACATGGCCACTAGGTCAATCTGTCACCTTATAGCTAGGGTGACACCTGGCAGTGCAGAGGAGCCTCAGGGACTCTGTGGTGTGGGAATTGAATTCGACCCCTGGAGATTCTACATCCCCAGGCCCTTGCTCTCTTTGAACATGTTATTTGTAAGGAAGAGTCAAAACTCTCCAGCACATCCCTTCATCTTGCAGGATTTAAAACTGAAATCTCTTTGCTCGGGTGACTCTACTTCCAGAATCCTATCTTTAACTGAACACATGGGGATCCCTATTATAAAGACATCTGTCACTGCAAGATTTGTGATGACAATGGTGATAACTGATAATTCCTGAGTGCCTATAATGTGCTAGGTGCAGTGGAAATCTCACAGCAGTCACACTCAGAAATGCAACAGGTACCATTCTTGCCTCTATCCCACGGAGGATAGACTGGGGTGCAGCAAGGCTTGGCCGCCTGCTCAGGATCCACGGCCACAAAGTGGGTGAGGACGCAAACCCAGGTAAGTCTGGACAGTCTTCTCATCATGCTACATGTGTTCCCATTACAGATCCAGAGGTAAACGTCACCTATAGCTTATGAAACCCTCATAGCCTGCTAGACACAGGATGATGCTTTTTGTTTTGTTCTGTTTTAAAATGGGGGGAGAATGTTGTTATACTCAGAGAAAATAATAGTAAAACATGGTAGATTATCTTAACATCATAAAAGTCATGTATAAAATATGTCAATATTGACATCATGAGTGGCAGGGTTTTAGGTTGTCTCACTGTTTTACTCATTCAATTCTGTGTAAGAAAACATTGTGGTTAACAGCTAGAAAAAAGTTCACTGGTTTCTCAAGTGCCCTTTTTCTGAACGCCACCTCAGTTTTGAAGGCCCCGGGATAGGGTTGAATTGGCTAAAGTCCTGCTGTTTCTCTGAGAAGAGGGACGTGGGCTCATTTTCCAAGGAGAACGGACACAAGGGGGTGTTAATTCTGGGGCATGGAATTGAAGAGTACTTGGATGGGGAATGGTCATGAAATCAAGTCTGGGTTTCTGTTTGTATCTACCAGAACTGTGAGCTTTATGAGTCCTGTTCTCTTTAGGTACTAACAGCCTGGAAGACGCCACACATTCACAAGCCAAGTCACAGGAACCTCCCTAGGGAGCCTGAGGGCGAAGACACAATCTTGGACCAGACCTTTGCTCCGGGAACCTTGAGAATCACTATCTGTGGCAGTGAGCTTCCTTTTTGCAATGGCATTTGAGAACATCACCTTATCCCCCCAGCATGGAACTGAAAGGCTGCTTTAAGTTTTAAGCTTCTGTAGCAGTGGACCAGAGGGCCAACAAGTAACTAATACCTGCGGTGCCGCTCGGCAAAGTGGCACATTTCTGCAAATTTTCCAGCAGAAGGTCCAACTTTGGGAATGCCATCTTCACAGCTTGAAGGAGCTTTACCAAACTCTCAGCAGTCAGGATCTTCTCTTCAGACATTCTGTGCAACAAATTTTCTATGGTCTCCTTGGGTGTTCTGCCCTCGCAGCAATTCAGAATCACCTGCAGTGGCAAGCAATCACCAGACACCAGTTATGAGAGTGCTGAAAGCATTTGACCCAGCCCTGGGAAACCTGACTAGATGGTGCGACAGCACAGATGGTTCCCGTGAATGCCTCTGCTGGGCTCTGGCGCTACTTCCTTTCATAGTTCCTTCATGATATTGTTTCAAAAAACCCAAATAAATAGTTCTATAAACACCCTTCTCAATTGTTTTGCTTCCAGAAACTTGTGCGTTGTGTATATATTCTGCCGCCAGGTCTAAATGACAGAACTGGTCACTGACATCTCCCCGGCCCTGCAGATTGAGTTTGTTCAGACACAAAGATGGAGAAACAGACCGGCAATCGATTAATATAGTGTTTTTCAACTCCTGCGCCAAAAAAAGTATACGACAATGGCACAGGCTGTCATTCAGAACAATTTTTAGTATCTCTGCTTCCTTTCTGTGCACAGCCATTTAAACACCCAGATACTTTAGACGTTAAGCAAGTAGCCTATGAAGTAAGTAAATGACGTGCATTTCTATATGACTTTTCTTGCAGACTACTGACTACTTCTCACTCTCATTCTCCACGAAACGTGCATCAGTCCCAGGGATCTTTCCCCAGTTCCCCTCCCCTGTTCTCCCCGGCTGCACTGGGGGATAATTGGAGCTATTTTACAGATACTGTCCTAGCATAATGGGAGCAATTCCTTCAGGAACTGTAACTCACTATGCAGAACTTCAGGAACTGATAATGTAGAGGATTATTGCAATATGTGTAATCTATCGATTCGCAGCTTCTGAGCTTCCCTTTGGGATGACGCCAGCTCTCGGGAGGGGCCGTGAGATCAGTCACGGTGGCATGCCAGAGGACACCATCCGCAAATTAACTCCCAATTGAAAATAATGAATTTAGCTATAAAACCAAATTGGTATTATATAGATGAAAAGAAATATCTATATTATAGATGTGAAAGGAATGTATATATTATAAATCAAGCTGTCCTATTCCTGGTCAGTAGAGAGTATAGAGTATAGCTATTCTCTTTGCTTAAGTTCTAATATATATCAAGAGTTCTACTAAGTGAATCGCAATTTAAGTTTTTCCCAGTTTGTGTCTAAAAACCATTCTGATTTCAGCAGCACATCTAATTCTCAGGCAATGGCCTGATCCATCATGAGGCAAAAATGATCCAGAGTGGGCACAGGCTTTAAAGTCAGTCAGGTCTAGTTTCAACCCCAATTCTAAAAGCCATGTGTCCTTGGGCAAGTTAGTTCTGATGAAGCAAGATCATTTTTACTGAAACTTATTTAGAAAGAAGCAAGAGGAAAGAGAGAAGTATGTGTTCTCGAGAGAGAACACAGACTTCGCAGAGCAGAAACAGTCAAGCAGACCCATACTTAAGAGAAAATACAGGGGGCTGGAGCGATAGCACAGTGGGTAGGGCATTTGCCTTGCACACGGCCGACCCGGTTTTGATTCCCAGCATCCCATATGGCCCCCCATGCACCGCCAGGAATAATTCCTGAGTGCATGAGCCAGCAGTAACCCCTCTGCATCGCCAGGTATGACCCCCCCAAAACAAAGCAAAATAAATAAATAAATAAATAAACGAGAAAATATGGGTCTGAAGTGCAAGAACAAGTTACTTAATCCTTTTAATGTTATTTTCCTTTTCTAAAATAAAAAATATAAAAATTTCAGTCCTGGTGAAGGCATGGGTTGGAACACTGTACGACTAAAACTTAATCATGAACAACTTTGTAACGGTATACCTAATGGGGATTCAATAAAAATAAAGAAATAAAATTTCAGTCCTTAGACAAGGATTCTATAAAACTCTTTTAGAGCCTAGAAACACAGCAATCTTTATTAACTGATTGTAATTATTGACACACTCAGGAAGCAGTATGTACAGTGATTAATGGAGTGTGTTCTGTTAAGTTCCGAGTCTGCATTCCAGTACTGGCCCCAAAGAGCGGTGGCTTTAGACAAAACGCTGAACCGAAAGTGTCTTTAAAATGAGGGTAGAGCTGGGAAGACAGGACTGGGGTTAAGTGCTTGCCTTAAACATGGCCAACTCCACCTCAATCCCCAGCTCTAAGCACTGCCAGGGTGAATGCAGAACCTGGAGCAAGCCCTGAGCAGTGCCGGGTGTGCCCTCCCCACCCCCAGACCCCACCCACCCTAACCAAAACACACGGAATAAAAGCACAGGCAGAAACCAAACGAAACAAACCCATGGTCTCAGACCAAAGAGGTGCAGTGAGCCCCGGCAGGGAGGGCGCTGGACTCAGGTGCGGTATGCAAGCACACGCTTTGGAGACATGTGAAGCTGTATCCCTAGAAACACACAGCCGGGCAAACTGATAAAATTTCAGTGAAAGAAGCAAAAATTAAAATAAAATGCCCGTGTGCCTGTTCCAGACAAGGTCCAAACGCGGTGGTTCTGCATCCACATTCACCCCACACCCCAGCTTTATCACTGCGCTTTCATTTTCATGAGGAGTGGCTTAATGAAGCACTGCTGACACCCCAATCCAAAGAAGGTCTTTTTCCCCGTGTGTGATTTATAACTAATTTAAGTTCTTCTGCTTCAGTCCTTTCTGTCAAGTAAACTGAAAGTGACAGAAGAAAATGACGGTGTGGTCTGTCTTGCTGCAGAGAATGGGGCCGAGTTTGGGCTCTACTTATAAATGCAGTTTTACCAATATAATGAAGCAGGTCAAAGGACACATTCAATCCAGATAATGAGGAGAAGGCCGGAATGGGTAATCGGATGAAATCACTAAATAGGGGATCAGATACTTCTATAAGAAACTTACTTGAACCAACTGCCTGAAATTGTACTAATTCCGAAATCTAAGGAGAAAAACAGCGATCTGATTTTATTTTACCTACGATCTCTTCTCTGTAAGTTGAAAAGAGTTAAAATTAAAAAAAAAAATCTTAAAAGCTGTGGCCAAAGAGACAGCAGAACGGGGGTTAAAAACATGCTTGGCCTGCAAGAAGCCCAGGTTTGATATCGAGCACTGCACAGCCCCCGGGAAAACCTCTGGAAGTAACTCTCTGCCACTAGGTGTGGCTCCAGATCCAATAAATAAATAAATAAATAAAAATTTGGAGCTAATTTGCAGAAATGCAATTATGAGATTAAAGAAAAAAAAAGAGGGATAGGATCATTGAAAAAAAAAAAAAAGAAGATCCAAAATCAGCTCTCGCTATTAGACACCGGAGCTTCTACACATTTTCACTCCAAAACATGTAAGCCACGTCCCACAGTTTTAAGAATTGATGCCCCAAAGTGTGCTGGCTCTATTCCTTCCTTCCTAGATATAAAAATATTTTTAGCACAAAGTTGAAATCAATAACACCAACAAATACAGTTATCTAGTGGACTGGAGAAGTCATGCCAGCACTGTTATGAGGATTTTAGCAGTGAGCTGGTGGGAGAGTAAATTGGTACAACCTTCCTGAAGGGCGACTTGGCTATATATATTATATATCAAACACCTGAGACATTTCATACTCTGTTACATTACCTCACTTCCTAGCAATTATTCAAAAGAAAAAAAATTGAGAAGATGCAAAGATTTGTGTAACAAAAATGGCCTCGGATACAAAACTGGGGAATAGACAGTATCAAACAATGAAAGCCCTTGCCCTTGAATTACAAAATTGAGATACTGAGCCATGCAGAAGGGAGGGGAAAGGAAGAGTCAGTTCAGAAGTGACGCAAGAACAGTAGTGGAGGATTTTCGTCACTTTAGTGGGGTGAAGGGACAATAATTGGATTGTTTTGGTTGCTTTTTGTTTTGGGGCCACACCTTATGATGCTCAGGGGTTACTCAAGGCTCTGTACTCAAGAAACACTCCTGGTGGTGCTCAAAGAACCATATGGGATGCCGGGAGATTGAATACAGGTTGGCTGCATGCAAGGCAAGCACCCTACCCACTGTACTCTCTGTCTAGAGTGAAGTAACTTTGTACATCAAAACTATAAATGTTAACAGTTAAAGTATAATTATAATTAAAAAGGATGTTCTCTGCCATATCATTTGTAATAGCAATGAATACTCAATAAAGAATGAATGAATTATAGTTATGTCCATCCAATAAGAATAATTTGGGTATGGAAATACAGTCACTGTGTGTGTGTGTGTGTGTGTGTGTGTGTGTGTGTGTGTGTGTGTGCATTAAAGAAGAAAGTAACATTAGCAAACTGTATGCCCTGTATCACCCCCTCCCAGAATGATTTGGATTGGAACAAAGAGGAGCCCATGCTCCAAAATGTCACCAGCGATCCATCTGTAGGGTGGGATGATAGGATGATAGGAGGTCCAATACTTTGCCACTGGTGTGTTTCTTGATTTTTCTGGAGCTAAAAGCATGTCCTTTTTGGGAAAGGGAAAGGTGGCATAATTAGAAACATGACTTAACATTTTTACACGCGGGGAAACTGTTTGATGGGAAAATCTCACTGGGTCGGAGATGGACAACTGTATATTCACCAGCCCTCCAGTCCACACACCTGTACTTCAAAGGTACAGCTGCCCAGTGAAAGGGTCCCACAAGCTGCAGCAAGGGGGGCAAAAAGCACAAAACAAGAATCGACACTTCTGGGAAAAAGCAGCATGTGCCATGCAGAGATTTTATTTTTTTTTAAGTGCTCTGAGTTCAGAAAGGAGCAAGAGGTGCTCGACAGTTACCTGCTTCTCAGTGGCTGTCAGGAAGCCCTCCTTGGCAGTTTCCAGGCACTCCACAATCGGCCTCAGCTGCGTCACACACTGGATCAGGTCCTCTTTGTGCAGGAGTAACAGGGCTGACAAGGTCTTCCCCTCCTCGGTGCCCCCTGGGGGAAAAAGAGTCAGAGACACTCAGGGAAGCTAGCTGATTTGAAGAGCAGGACAGGAAGAGGGACTGTGGCGAGAAAGAGAAAGATCTAACAGAATTGTAAAGTGATTCTCAGCTATTCTGAGCCCCTGAACGCAAACTCTCTTTTTGGAGAGGAAAACACTTTATTATTCTGTTTAAACTCTATGAAAGGAAAATGTTTCATTTATCTGTCGAAACCCAAAAACTGCAGAGCCAGCTCGAGGTTAACTTCCGGTTGGCAAGGCCACTGCTTTGTACCTGACCGCAGCCTGTCTGCCTGTCACAGCAGTGGGAGGAGTGACCCGGACATGTGGCTTTCTGGAGGGCATGGGACATAGATGGCATTCTCCACCCTCACAGTGCAGACCAGTGAGCCTGGGGGTAGAAAAGGGGCCCTGCGTTGTAAGCCTGTCTATTTGACAGGCAGCTGCTAGAGTTACATGAAGGAGTTATGGAAAACCACCTATCAGTAATGAAGGGCAGAAATGCATCCCTGGGGTAGACTCCACGGTACCTACCCAGACAAAATCAGTCATTCAGGGCTGGAGAAGGAGAGCTTTTCCTACCTTTGGACTGCACTGCTACATCCTCCGTTTTTTTGTCTGAAAATGCTGCCTTCACTGCAGGATTCGAATCTTGGTACAGCTTCAGCAGGGACACAAGGGCCTCAGCAACCAGGCTCTCATCTTTTACTTTATCCAGAAGTCTCTGGAAAGTGGAATGTCCGTCTTTGCCCTCAAGACACGCCTTTATGGCCTGTGGAACAAAAGAACCCCCAGAGATATTAGTTGACCACAAGGACCCTGGGTTTCTTGGCGTTAGCAGCTATGGCCCCTACAACCTGGTGCCTCCTCCCTTGACCCCCCAGCAGCACTGGCCATTACCTCTGAGCTGGATCACGATCTTCTCTGACTTCAGGGATACTGAAGGGCTCTGGGCAAAAACTTGTCTTTCTGACCCTCCCCTTTAAGACTTCTTCATTGGTTTTCCTTTAAAAAATCACCACCTAGGCAATACTGGTCTCAATTCTTAATTTTCCTCCCTTTTGAAAAGTTCTCATATGTAACTTTTCCTATAACCTAAAAAAAGAAAAAAAATATCCTGAACTTTGAGGAGTCTCCTAAGCAGTGCTCAGGGGGTCGAGGAACCACTCCCAGCATTTCCAGCCAACCTGGCCTAGGGGTCAACATGAAGACCAACGACAAGCTGCTGTTCAGGTTCTGTGGTGCTCAGGTCACCGGGGATGCATCCAGAGATGCTTGCACGGGTCATCTCATGCCAGGGATCAAAATGAGTCGGCCATCACCCTAAGCCCTATAACATCCCCCGTCCTCCTGTAACTTTTATGAAAATAATCCTTAGACTCCTGGACATACTGTTTGAATCTTGAGCCAGTTTTTGCCTTTTGTGCCAAACCCTTCAAAGATCCCCAGCATGACACACCTAAACCCAAACTCATCATCTTGACACTAATAAACCTAGAATACTCCTCACCAGCAACCCTTGAGGCAAAGTAAAATTAACATTCTCTTTTACCTGTGGTGCTGGGGATGCACCCTGGTTCTCACATGCGCAAGGCAGGCACTCTGCTACTGCGATCCATCCCCAATGCTGGCACGCCTTTCTTTGGTCGGACACTTATTATTTCTCCCATAAATAAACAGGAGGAAAGCCAAATAGCCAAATTATATTTATCTACCTGTCTGTCTATCTAGACACACAGCCACATATACACATACCAACGAACTTTGTATTTTCACTGGCAAAGCTACAACCAACATTTACAGTTTTTATGTTTTGGGGCCACATCTGGGAATGCTCAGGGCTTACTCTTGATTCTGTGCACAGGAATCAATTCTGGCAGTGTTCAAGGGACCGTATATGGTGCTGGGGATCTAACTGGGGTCAACCACATGCAAAACAAGCACCTTATCCCATGTGCTATCTCTCTGGTCCCTAATATACCTGTTTTTTTATTATCAATACTATCAAACCTTAAGGCTTTACATATATGCGCACACATACTCCATGAAGGGCTCTCATGAATGTCTACACTTACAAATTTCAGCTAGGAAGTCACTGTAAATTATGGTCACTGTCATTGTCACTGTCCTCCCATTGTTCATCAAATTGCTTGAGAGGGCACCAGTTAACATCTCACAACAAATTATGAGACTTGTTACTGTTTTTGGCATATTGAATATGTCACGAGTAGCTTGCCAGGCCTTGCCATGCGGGCAAGATACTCTTGGTAGCTTGCCGGGCTCTCCAAGAAATAATTATATATTAAAATTATATGTTCCCTTTATTACATTTTGTCTTTATTAAGCAAAAGAATGTAAGCAACCAAGTATGTGACCTTAGCAGCAGCAACAACACAGGAAGGGAAAAAAATTTTGATTAGACACACTTCTATCTTTTTCCTCTCCTCGCCTCTCAGATAAACAGGATTTTTTGTTTTGCTTTATTATTAATTTTAGGCCACACCTGGTGGTGCTCAGGGCTGCCACACCTGGTGATATTCAGGGCTTACTCCTGGCTCTGTGCTCAGGGATCACTCCTGGTGGTGTTCAGGGGATCTTATGGGATGCTGAGGTTGGAACTCGTCCAACTGCATAAAAGGCAAGTGCATTACCTACTGTACTGTTTCTCTGGTTCTAAACAGAAATTAAAAAAATAAACTGGGGAGCCCACATTCATTGGCCCTCGGGGCTTACTCCTGGCTCTGTGTTCGGGGAACCAAATAGGGCACCAGGGATAGAACCCAAGTCAGCTGCATGCAAGGCAAACAAGAATCCTACTGCTGGATTATCTCTCCATCACGCCCCCCTCCCCAACGGGAATGTTAAATGAATTAGACCTTGAGTATCTTCTTTGATCTAGTTTGCTTCCTGATCACAGAAGGGCTGTATAAAGGTAAATTAATTTTTTTTAAAGCTCCTATATTTTGAGTCACTGTCACTGTCCTCCCGTTGTTCATCGATTTGCTCGAGCAGGCCCAGTAACGTCTCCATTGGAGACTTTGTTGTTACTGTGTCTGGCATATCGAATACGTCACGGGGAGCTTGCCAGGCTCTGCCGTGCGGGCGAGATACTCTCGGTAGCTTGCCGGGCTCTCCGAGAGGGGCGGAGGAATTGAATTCGGGTCGGCCATGTTGGCTGCGTGCAAGGCAAACGCCCTACCGCTGTGCTATTGCTCCAGCGATATCTCCATTTGGAGATATTTTGAGTATCTCCAAAAAAAAATTTAGATAAAACAACTGTAATCCACAGTAAGATTTTACTGGAGCGAGTACCTTCCAACGGTCTAACAGATATCAGTTGAAAGCGTGTTCCCTTTCATCACCATTATGCAACCCCTCTGCCTTTCCTAGTCAGCCTCATATAAAATCTCTGTGAGTGCCTTGGTGGGCAGCCTCTACATTGGCCTCCAATACTCTGCCTCCAAGTATCTGTGCCTTTGGGCTGGACCTAAGGACTTGCTTCAAAGGAAGAGAACAGGGCCCCAGGAATGGGCTGCCTCCAAACTTCCTTCCTGGCAAGGAACTGATGCTGTCTTTGACCAGCTGTCAGTGAGTGTGCTTGGAAGGGGACCCCCTGAAGCCTGCCACAGTCACGTGAGTGAGCTGAGATGACACTGGACTTTGAGAACTCCGCCTGCCCCGAGAGCTCGGTGGAGCTGCATGTCTATTGCTGCCACTCGGCACCTGCAGGTAATGCAGGTGTCTTTTGAGCGGGTCAAGTTTAGAATGAATTGCTACACAGCAGCGAACTACTACAGACCCATTCTTGCTATGACGGCTGAGCAAACGGGTCCCTCTCCTCCCTTCCTACATGGCTATCCCATTCCACCTGAAGGAAACTCTTCGAATAGCCCCAATCTACCTCTCGCCGTATCCAATTTGTCTGGCATTATCATCTGAGCTAGTGGGGAAGAGGAGCTTTCATCAATGGTGGCATCTGATGCGTTTCTCATTATCCTCTCTGCAGAACTGCTCAGCAGTGAAATTAAAACATTTGTTAACTTCATTGCTCAGCAGTGATGCTAGGGTGACCATCTGGGAAGAGGAGCAGGGGGAGGCTGCTCCAAGGGCCAGGAGGGAGCATTAAGCGGCCCGGACAGTCCTGATCTCTGCTCTTTCTCCCAGCACCTGCCAGGGAACGGCACTAGTGCCAGAACTGCAACTACTCCCCCCACCAGTCCTCTCAGCTGCCTGGGGCGCCACATGGCAGGAGACCCTTCCTGAAATCAGGTAGTAGAAGGGAGGGTGGCACAGAGGTGGGCATGCTGGAGTCGGACTGCTGCCGTGTAACAGAACTCGAAGAGATGAACCCAAACAGAGTTCTGCTCTTGAACCACACATTCGGAATTCCTTTGTTTCTTCGAGTTAAAGCTCCTCCAATAAACTACCACATCATGGTCGAACAAGTAATCAAAGTACTTTTCTCAGGAAATAAAATATAGGTGGATTTATTTAAAGATGGGACCGTTTCTTTCTCCCTTTATTACATGTAAAATGCCCTTTGCGTCCTTCCTTCGTATTCAGATCTTTTGAGTGAATTTATTCTCCTGTGTGTTTGCCTACTGTCTTCAGAGCTGTTTGGGGTTCTATCTGCTCTTCCTTGCTCAGGCCGCCCCTCCATGCAGAGGGCAAGACGGTGACAATGATGACAGAGCTCAGGAGTGTCCCAGACACTGTGTGTGCAAATGACCTGCTTTGCTCTCCTGTCCGCCCTCGGAGGTATCGCCACGCGACTTGAGCTGGGGCCTGAGAGGTACAACAACTTGCTGGAGGTGACATTTAAGTACGCAGATCAGCTTAACTCGCTGCACCAGCTCCACTTCCCACATTTCAAGTGTAACCCAGTCAGCTGAAACTAAATTTTCTAGAACCAACTTTGAGCACTGGTTATAGATCATCTGTGTCTCTTGATCTCCAGGATTTGTACAAACTGAGACATAGGAGGCACTTAATAAATGTTGAACTGTACGTCAGGGAGATGGCTGAAAGCCCTACAGTGTATGCATTGCATGTAAGAACCCTGGGTCTGGGACAACAGGGAAGAGCAGTTGTCCTGCATGCAGCCAACTCAGGTTTGACCCCTGGCACCACCCCCACAGAGTCCCCCAAGCTCAGCTGAGAGTGATCCCTGAGCACTGGGAGTAATCCCTGAGTACAAAGAGAGGAGTAAGCCCTGAACACCACCAGATGTGGCACCAAGACAAACAAAAAAAGAAGCCTGGTTTGATCCCTAGCACCACCAAGCTGTGTGGAGCCTTGGCATTACTGTGGTGAGGCACAAAAATCCAAAAACAAGACAAAAGAATGTTTAATGAAATTCCCCTGCCATAAAACCACTGACTCTTCTATCTACAGATGGCTTTCTTAGACCTCATGGGAAGCAGCAGAGATTTGGAAAAACTTATTTTCGTCTCTCATAAACCTATAAAACGAATCCTATGAAATCACTTCTCTAGAAGAGTACCTATACTGTCAGCGAACACAGTTTATTAGTGCTGTATTTCTTGACAAACCTTCAAGACATAACACAGTTGAAACCATTAGATTCACAGAGGAGAGTCTTGTTTGCCCTTGAAACAAAGTTCAAGGAGGTGGGGGAAATGGCACCGAGACTCCAGCTTTGGGGGCACTTTTAGAAGTTTAGGTGAAAAAAAAATGGATCGGATAATTAACAGTAGAAGAAAAAAATGACCTCCTTATTCTAATCAAGGACTCGACTGTTAGACATATCAT